ATTTTTAAATATAAATGTCCAAATTATATTGATCACTGCTAATTTTTAAATAAAAAAATTATTTGTCATTTTGCTTTAGATGAACATGAACGTGAAGAAACCAGACAGATGTATGCGGATCTTAACAATAATATTGAGGTAATGAAATGAAGGTAAAACACTTGGCAATAATCTAAGTGAACATCTTTATTGGGATTCACCTCAGAGAATTCTGTGATTAGAAGAATAACTCTAGAGTGCACTCCAAATCTTCTCACACTTTGTCACTTTCCTTTTACCCAGTTTCTGTTCAATCAGAATCTCATCATTACTAGAAGAAATGAAATATGGAAATGTAATTTTAAAAAGAAAGGAAAGGATGTATGGCTGTTAGTCTATGAATCATTCAGAGGAGTAGTGGTGGACAGATGGCAGAAACTGGATCTATCTCTGGCTGACAATTGCCACAGTGCATGAGACTGTGTACTGTATTTTCATTGCTGTTTTTCTAAATAGTTATATGAACTTGGTGAGAGAAAGTATATGACCACACAGGCATTTGTTCCACTGTTTGTTCCACTCTGGGGATGGACTGTTTTGCTCCTTTTGCTGGTGATCAGGCAACGTAAGTGTCAGCATGAAACAGCCCATCTCAAAAGCATTCATATCCTCACATTTCTGACCCCTTTTCAGGGATTACTCTTTTTAAGCTGCGGGTAGGCTCCATTTCAGTTTGATTCCAACATGTGTGATTGCTGGGATCAAACTAAAGCAGCTGGCTAGCTATCTTTGGAGAAGCCTATTAATGATCTTGCCTCTTAATGATCTTGAGAAATGGAAAATTTAATTCTTGGCTCTCCTTTGGAGGGCAGCAAACAAGAGGTTTTACATTTTTTAAATTGTTAATCTATCAGGGATGCTTTGAATGTTTTTTTAAAGGCCCTGTCAAAGTATTATTGATATGCAATAACAGTTAGCAACAATGAAAAACAAGAGCCAAGTGAACGTTTTCTCAAGATCATTAACAGGCTTCTCCAAAGAGAACTTAACAATCTTGAGAAATCTTTCCTTTGGAAAGTATCTTTCCTTTTAAATGGAAAGAAAATCTTGATTATGCTAAGCAGCATCATTTGAAGTATGGTTTGCTTTCCTCGCCTCTATGTGATCTTATCTGATCTTAAGCAACCTGGTTTAGCCCACTCTAATTTGGTGCCTAGCCAAGTCAAGTTCCCATAGTTTTGCAATTAAGCAGTCAATATAATAGCGACATCTACCACTGTATTTCAGTAACTCATTAGGTTCGGACTATATGTATCAGATAGCATCATGAGAACCTGAAATCACATTTGTGTTCCAGAGGCAAAAATTTGGCAGACCCGTGTGCAAGAGAAATCACACTTGCAAAATAAGTGATAATAATAATAAAAAAATCCAACTGCAACCCACTGGGTCTTTTTTAAGTATTATAAAAGTGGCCACAGAGGGCACAATTTGAGGGAACATGTAGCACCATAGTAGGGAAGGAGAACATAGCTCTCTACCTGATGCTGCTCTTTTCATTTCCTTCTACCATTTCTCCTGGTTTCCACTGACGTTGCTATGTCTTGAAAAAAAGCAGTTGGGGTTTCACATTTCCTGTTTCATCTACAACTTCTCTCCTCCAAATCATTTTCTCCATCTGCCTGCTTTTAGATACCGTATTTTTCCGTGTATAAGACATTCCCTTGTATAAGATATTCCCCCACTTTTCTAACCCCAAATTTCTTTCTTTGCAAGAATGTGGAGGGGGAAGGCAGGGATCAAAGTGCTTTGATTCCTGCTTGCCCCCTCCACTTTCTTGTGAGGAAAGTGCTTCCCCCCTCCACTCTCTTTCCAAAAAGTGGAGGGGGGAAGCAGCTTTTTGCAAAGAAAGTGGAGGGGGAAAGCACTTTCCTCACAAGTAAGTGGAGGGGGAACTCAGGGATCAAAACGCTTTGATCCCTCCCCCTCCTTACGTCCAAGTAAAAAACAACCTTCTATTTTTCCTCTAATTATTTTAAGGAAAAAGTGTCATTTTATACACGGAAAAATATGGTACTTTGAATTAATGGGTATTCTTTGATATCTTATGGGCTGTTCTAACTATAGAGAAAATTGACATTGATTCTAAATATAAATATTTAATATTTCTGCATATATTCAATGACAATCTAAGGATTTTGTTGTTCTCAAAGATTTATTTGCATTTTTAAGAGACTGATACAAGACTTTGAAGAACTTCGTGTACAAGCAGAGAACACCAGGCTGGAAATGTATTTTAAATGTGAGGATCTTAATTCAAGTTTATAGCACAGTCTTACATACAGTAAAATAAATCATTTTGATACATTCTTCTATAGTACAAAAAACATATATAACAATGACTAATATGGGTTGAAAAAAATGATGCGAATGATTATTTTTATCTGTTTTCTCATTTGATCCAGTACAACCATATCTCATACAAGATGGTGGTAAGACAATATTTGAAAGGGAGAAGTAAAATATTTTAAATAAATAAAATTTAGAAGAGATAGGTTTAGGATTTCTAATTGTTATTCTTTATTTTGTGCACTATGTTCCCTCTGTTTTAAACACAAATGAAGCAAAACTAGTGTGTTCTGCACTTTATTGGTAATACTAATAGAAAACCATTATGAGAAACATGACATGGATTAAAAAAAAACATTTGTTGCTTCATTTCCCAAAATTTTTTTAGTGTGGAGCATATGCTCACCAAGTACTGCCCGCAAGCTAATGTGTTGTTTTCTGGTACAGCTTCCTAACAGCCATGATGAATGGATTAAAAGGGAGTCATAGCAAACCAATCATCTGTGTTTGGATTTTCTTGCTTATGCCTCTGTGTTTCTTTGTATCCATTAACTTAGTGTTTTGTTTCTGCTTCTCTTTATTTTTATATCTATATACCAATAACCAGCTGCTTCCTCAAGGCACCAACAGTTTTATTATGCTGACAATCTTGCACTTGCTACTAAGTCAAACAGCGTTCAGATGACAGAACATCTTCTAAGAGATGCATTAGAAGAATGTGGCACAAATTATGATAGAAATTAACTTAAACCCAACAGTACCAAGACTCAAAAACCTGCCTTCCATGTGAAAAAGAGCAGGCATCTTAGAAACATCAGGCTACCTGGAAAGGTGTCCAACTAGATCACCCCCCCCCATGTACTTTGGATTATATGCTGACCAAATACTGCCAAAATACAAAACAGATGGTCTCAGGAAATAACAGTATTCTTTGAAGCTATCAGGGATCAGTTGGGGCACACAGTCACAAAAAGCTACAGCCTTAGCCCTGTGCAGGAGGTGACTATGCCAGTCCAATGTGATATAGCTGAGCCCATACAAAATGGGTAGATAGAATACTCAATGAAAGCTTTAGAATTATTGCTGGGTGCCTGAATCCAGTCCTTGATTGGATAAAATCAATTGGCTAACAAGTATTGTATCCAGTGACATATGAAAAGAGGTAGCTATAATGAAAGACTCGAAAGTGTCTGCATCATCCATTCTTTGGCTACCCACTATGGGTTAGAATCAAGGGAAAGTTTTTCAAAACATGTAAATCTTGAAGGACTATACTGTAGTGTGGAAAGGAAGAACTCACCTCTTAAAATGGATGGAACCCAGGAACGTCTAGTTCTGGTCACGCAGATAACTGGGTTACTTGGAAGTCACTTAATAGGCTACAGTCCACAGTTGGTAGAACCAAGGTTTACCTAAGAAAACAGGGTTTTGACATCAATACTGTACTTGGTCAGTGCAGAAAAAACCAAGTAACTTCATACCTATGTCTTTGTGCTCTGCCTTTCAACATGTACTATGGAAGACTTGATGAGTAGATTTAGCTGCCCAAAATGCTCTTGATGTTGCCCATAATTGGGTGAAAATTATCTGATCTATTTATTAATTGTACTGTGGTGCTTCAGGCATGAAAAAACAACCTCCAAGCTGGTGGATTTGCTCGAGTCCATTTTAACTTTCCTACATCATAGTCCGTGGGAACTGTGCAGTGTAGGGAGACACTTTTCCATTGTAGTTCGGACATGGAAGCTGCTTTAAGATAGTACACTGGAGCATCATGTAGTCATAATGTTTTTGGTGACACCTGTGCTGAGCAGGGCGGTCAGAGCTCTTTTCCCTCTTATAAAGGCTAGGGATAGACCACCCAATGTTCTATCACTATGTTAAATTAAAGGAGGGGAATTTGGCAGGCTTCTTTTCAAGCATCTTTGGAACTCTTCTCCCGCTGTTCTGACAAGGAAACGGGAGAGTATTACAGAGGTTGGAACTCCTTTATGAATATTTCTTTCACTAGCTTGTCCCATTCAGAGGCTTTTGGAGTTCTCATTAATAAAGCCTTCAGGGAAGGAAAATGCTGTTGCCTTGGGTCTGTCTCATTAACAAGGAGTATATGCCTCCTATATCAAGTGCTAGTGAACCTGTACAGTTCCCAAAAATATGACTATGCTTTTGAAACAATTTTTCCAGATACGTCTTAAACTCTTTCTTAAGGAACCCAACCAGTCACTGGTTAGGTTTTGAGCCATTGCAAAAGGTTTCAGTTAACTTCTGTTATAGAAAGTTATTTTTCTAACCATTGCTTCAATACTCAGGGTGCTGGAATTAGAAGATTACTGCCCATATGCATGCTTCTTACCTAGACTTAGTGTCATTGACTGTGGATTAGGCTTATGCTCGTAGTTAACTATGATGATTCTGTAGTTCATATTAGAGTTCAGCAAGACAGCAAGTTGACTGTGTAGCTATGAAGCAGAAGTAATCACTCAGGATACTCACTGAAAAAAAATGTACAGTACATTTGTTTTCCCAAGAAATCCATTCAAGACACAGCCTAGACTTGAGCACAGAGGTCCTTAGAGCTAGCATCCCTTTGTATAGGTGTGGTGATAGACAAAATGAAGGCACCCTCATGGCCATCCATCCACTGCAGAAAAGAACAAACAACTAAACTATTTCCTTGAAGAAAGAGGAAGTGATTTAGGAGGAAGTGATCTAGGGACAACAGTGTACAAGCAGTGACTTACAGAAAAGCAAGAAATATTCACAATCTGACCTGGCTATCTGTTGGGCTGCCATCCCTACCCCATAGACCCATAATTAGTTTAAATACAATGTTGCTGCACTTCTGTCAACATTTTAGGGGGTGAAAGAGTTGATAGCAACTCCTCTTTGTCCTTCTCCAGGCAAAACTATTAAAATAATAGTACAAATTGGACATCAAACATATGCTCAGACACACCAAGCTCTTTTGTGTTTAGTTGTTAAGTCGTGTCTGACTCTTCATGACCCCATGGACCAGAACAAACCAGGCCCTCCTATCCACTGCCTCCCAGAGTCGGGTCAAATTCATGTTGATAGCTTCGATGGAACTGTCTAACCATCTCGTCCTCTGTCATCCCCTTCTCCTCTTGCCTTCACACTTTCCCAATATCAGGGTCTTTTGCAGGGAGTCTTCTCATGAGGTGGCCAAAGTACTGGATCCTCAGCTTCAGGAACTGTCCTTTCAGTGAGTACTCAGGGTTGATTTCCTTCAAAATGGATAGGTTTGTTCTGTTTTCAGTCCAGGGGACTTTCAAGAGTCGCCTCCAGCACCACAGTTCAAAAGTATCAATGCTTCGGCAGTCAGCATTCTTTATGGTCCAGCTCTCACTTCCATACATCACTACTGGAAAAACAATAGCTTTAAGTATGCGGACCTTTGTCGGCAAGGTGATGTCTCTGGTTTTTAACATGCTGCCTAGGTTTCTCGTCACTTTCCTCCCAAGAAGCAGGTGTCTTTTAATTTTGTGGCTGCTGTCACCATCTGCAGTGATCACGGAGCCCAAGAAAGTAAAATCTGTCACTGCCTTCATATCTTGCCCTTCTATTTGCCAGGAGGTAATGGGACCAGTGGCCATGATCTTAGTTTTTTTGATGTTGAGCTTCAGACCATTTTTTGCACTCTCCTCTTTCAGACTCATTAAGAGGTTCTTTAATTCCTCCTCACATTCTACCATCAGAGTGGTATCATCTATATATCTGAAGTTGTTGATATTTCTTCCAGCACTCTGAATTCTGGCTTGGGATTCATCCAATCCTGCCTTTCGAATGATGTATTCTGCATATAATTTAAATAAGCAGGGAGACAATATACAGCCTTGTCGTACTCCTTTCCCAATTTTGAACCAATCAGTTGTTCCATATCCAGTTCTAACTGTTGCTTCCTGTCCCACATACAGATTTCTCCAGAGATAGATAAGGTGGTCAGGCACTCCCATTTCTTTAAGGACTTGCCATAGTTTGTTGTGGTCAACACAGTCAAAGGCTTTTGCAGAGTCAATGAAGCAGAAATAGATGTTTTTTCTGGAACTCTCTGGCTTTTTCCATAATCGAGCGCATGTTAGCAATTTGGTCTCTAGATCCTCTGCCCCTTCGAAATCCAGCTTGTACCTCTGGGAGTTCTCGGTCCACATACTGCTGAAGTCTACCTTGTAGGATTTTGAGCATAACTAGCGTGTGAAATGAGTGCAATTGTACGGTAGTTGGAGCATTTTTTGGCATTGCCCTTTGGGATTGGGATCTTTTCCAAACTTCTGGCCACTGCTGAGTTTTCCAAACTTGCTGGCATATTGAGTGTAGCACCTTAACAGCTTCATCTTTTAAGATTTTAAGTAGTTCAATTGGAATTCCATCACCTCCATTGGCTTTGTTGTTAGCCATGCTTTCTAAGGCCCACTTGACTTCACTCTCCAGGATGTCTGGCTCAAGGTCAGCAAC